TTAAATGATACTTAAAATTATAAAAAAGATTATATAAAAAATTATTTTAAATAATTTTTTTCTTAATAATTTTCATGTCATCAAAATAACACCATGTTAGCTAAAAAATAACAGAAACATATGATGGCACGTAACTTTTGCCATGAAATTTTGAGTTTTTAAGAGATTTTAAAAAGTAGAGAGGGTGTTGATTGAATGAAAAATTATTGAGGGTGTTTAAAAATAATTAACTTATCGGTTATAATATAATATATATTCAGTCAAGGCATCAATTAATTTTCAACAAATATCGTAGTAAATAAAATAACCATTTAGAATGGGAGCCTCTTCGTCAACCCAAAGTCTACACTTACAGTGTGGACATATTAAAGTATTATTACAAGAAAACAAATAAATGGGGCCCAATAACGTGACTAGAAGCAGTATAGGAAAATGTGATTGACCTCCTGTTTTAGTCATTGAAGATAGGGTTTTACTACGAATTTTATTTACATATAATTTCTCCTTCTTTTTGTCAACCCACAAAAGTATAAGAATTTTTTATTTTATAATTTAAATTATATTAAATTATAAAATAAAAATTATTAAATAAATAAATAACCTTTAATAATATCTTCAGAGATTTGTGCCTATCTATTGCTTAACATTTTTTTTGAAAAATATAACATCTCTCCTCACAAAATTAAATGTACTATAATTTTTTTATATTTAATAATAAATTATATAATAAAAAATAATTTTTTAAAACATCTTTTCATTCATTTTAAAATTTAAATTTTAAAATTTTAAAATAAAAAATCAAATTCTTAACTACAGTAAATCCACTAAATTACAAAAGCCGACGAGGGTGCAACATTAAAACTTCCCAATAGGTCACCCATTTTATTATTTTTATGATCTTGTGACCCATTCCATTATTACTCTTCCCTAAGCACACTCTCCTGCGAATGTATGCCTGTAGTATAAAGTCCACCAATAGTATATATTTTAACGTTACGACACAACTAGCTAGTTCTACAATTATTCCACTGTACGGCACAATATTAACTGCTACAATCAATTCAAATATCATCTGGGACATGATGGCACCTCGTCTTGTTCCTTTGATGAGAGCATGGTGTGGCTTTACAGCTCATTTATAAGTGGGCGACCGACCCACTTGCAGTTGCGCGGTCTCACATGTCAATTGTTAAATAATAAATATGATTAATTATTAAATAAATTAACACATATAATATTATAAAATTTAATAAAATAAAATAAATTAATTATTAAATAATATAAATTTTATATTTTAATATTTTAAATAATATAATTTAAAATATATCATTAATTTTAAATGTTAATTATAAAACTTTAATTTCATTTATCATTATTCATCTTTGAAATAATGACTTTTTAATTATAAAAAATAGTTTATTTTCTATTTATTA